GCGATGCGAGGTTCTACTCATGCAGGATAACCGCTAGGGGCTTCCTGATAGAAGCATTCTGTTAAGCAAACGAGCTTCACTTCTGGTTCAATGCAGTTATAACTTGGTTTGTTCTGAGAGCATCTCGCACCTTAGCTGTCCTATTTCCAGCATCAAATCTCTGTGTAGGTTAAAAATGGACCCCCGACGTACGACGCTCAGGCTATACGAAAAGCCAAAGCGCAGTCGACGAAACCACGAAGCGCTGGTTGCCTACAAACGGTGGGGGCCAGTTATATTCGGACGCTCATGCGAGTGCATAACCAATCAAAGGAGGACAACTGAAAGAACGGTGGGCGGACACTTGTGATTGGCTGGTCGTGCCAATATAACTTTACTTGAAAGCGGCAATCAGGTGAGTCTTGCACATCATCCTGCTGACCGGCGTTGGAAGACCGCGATTCAACGTTGGTCTGTAATATTTGTTGGTGGGGCTGTTTTCGCTAGGACTAGCTGTACTACCCTTCGATTTCAGTCGTATTAGCGAACACGATTTCCCTGGAAATTGTGTTCAATATTTATCAGTCTCGCTACCTAACTTACGTGCTTCTTAGTTGCTCCCCTAATACTTTGGGAGTTTTGGAGCACATTCAAGATCTTATGAATAACAGGAGTAAAAGCAAGGATGCCGTTGAGCAAGAAAATTCTACTTGAGTGTCTATGAGCAAAACATACAAATAAAATAAGACTCTTTAGTTGAGTTGGCAATACCTTGATGTTCAGCAGCGAGTCAAACTTGGGAGTCAGGTAATACTGTATTCCAGCGAGCGATCCTTTCAACATCAGACCACGGACCAACAAAATGGAGAGAATCACATAGGGCAGAGTAGCCGTCACCCAAACAGCCTTCAATGTAGAACAGAGAAAAATCAAAGGTTTTCCAGACGTCGCCGGCCGAGTAAAATAAACAAAAAGAGAGTTTGGGTATGACACAAGAATAAATATTCTTGGAATTTACCGCAGAGAGGGGAAAAGAGTTTTATATTTCCATGTCTTACCTGATACTGGAGTTAAGAAGAAAAGGAGTCAAGTCAAGTCAAGTCAAATTTATTGAAGGAAATATAGGCAAACGCCT